TCGCGCACTCGACACGCACGATCTCCGCAGAGGGTTGCGCGCACACCGGACCAATCGCACTCTCGCCTGCATTTCGCGCACTCGACACGCACGATCTCCGCAGAGGGTTGCGCGCACACCGGACCAATCGCACTCTCGCCTGCATTTCGCGCACTCGACACGCACGATCTCCGCAGAGGGTTGCGCGCACACCGGACCAATCGCACTCTCGCCTGCATTTCGCGCACTCGACACGCACGATCTCCGCAGAGGGTTGCACTTTCGGTTGACGCTGTTCGTCCCGCACTCCGCCTTTAAGAGAGAATTTATAAAGTGGGGAAATGTTTTTTCATTAGGACATCTCCCGTGCTAGTTTTCCATACTCATTTTCCATACTCACACTTGCATACTCACCCTTGCATATCATGCTTGCATACTTACCCTTGCATATCATGCTTGCATACTTACACTTGCATACTTTGACACTGGCATACTTCGCACTTGGATGCTTTCGCTCTTCCAGTGTGTGTGTGTGTGTAAGTGTAAGTGTCGAAGTGTAAGTGTTCAAAGGATTTTCCGGAAGAACCCTTCGCAATGCTTTCGGGAAAAACATATTAATTGAAAAAATAGTAATTGAGGAACACACACCTCCTCCATTTAATTACCACAACGCTGGGCGCATGTTTCGCGATGCCGACGGTTGATGAGTCGAAGAGAAGAAGTGAAGTGACCAAACCAGGTACCCAGTAGGAACTTACCAGTAAGTGAAACAAATGGTCTGGTGAACAAATCTTAAGGAAGTGAGCTTATACTGTTGTCTGGAGTGGGAACCTTCGAACATCTTTCGAAATCTGGCGACCCTGACGCGGCGAACGCATCCGGCCTGGAACAATCGCGGGAGAAACCACTGGAGTTCCCTGGCCGGAAACAGGGTCCCGTCTATCCCATTGGTCCGTTGGATCAAGTCACATCAAGTTCGGGGCGACCAAAAATGATGGGGAATTATTATATGAGATATTAGGAGGAGTTTGATGTGAGGAATATTGAGGAATGATTGGGAAACATGTTTTCTGTGAGTTGTGCCTTGGTCTGCCAGAGTTGTCTCACCACCAATGACCCACTACCTTACTAAAGGGCCATTCAATATCAAAACCACCAGAAGTGCAGGTGAACAAATGAGGTGCCCCTTTGAAAACCTGCTGCGTCTCCAATTTGGAGAGGTGACCCTGAAAGTCGTTGATCTTCACCAGCCACGCAGAACAACATAAACATGTTCAAAAGAACGCGACACTGCCGCCGGACGAATTGTAGCTAGGTAGTCCCCTGTACTGCCGCGTCCTGTACCCGTACTGCAGAAGGCACAGCACATCGTCAGTCAAAGGGTGGGGGCTTCAACTCATGGACTCTATAAGGCTTGTTTTTGTTTTAAAAACCAACTCACCAGGACCTTCCACGTGACCTCTTCAGGGACGAGTTGTGACCGACCCGCCACTGGGATCGACCCGTCGGACGGTCACGGCAGGTACTTCTCTTTTCGTGCTGGTCGGTGGGGCACTTCACCTACCGGTCGGTTGCTGGGTGCATCACGCCCGGTCCCATCCCTCCCACCTTGGGCGAGGCATAGGCCCGGCGCGGCATCCGAGCATCCGGGGAGGGCCCAGATGGTACAAACCTGGGCATGGAATAAGAAGCACATGGAGAATCATATGCTGGAGGCCATTGCTCTTAGGTTGGAGGCCATTGCTATTAGTACAAAAGGCGCACAAAATAGTACAAGCAAACTAACATGATACACACATGTCAATGTCGACATGGACGCGGGTTCCACAGAACTGGACAAACCTTAGACAAACATGTTTCATGCCATGCTTAGAAGTGAAAACGGAAGGTCATGTAAATGCTTGGAGGATCATGAGGATCGATGGCTTCATGTGGTTTCCCAGGGTTCTTTCCACATACTGCCCATGAGTTTCTGGCCATACCCACAAAAATCCCTCAATGGGTGTTCACAGTACCCCTCCGACGATGTGAGAACGATTAAAGCCGGAAACACAGGGTGCTGAATGGTGCTGATGGTAAGGTTGAGAAAGTAGCCTCCAGCCAGCAAACGTCACCCTATGACAATGGGGATTATGATGCTCACATATTACGAGTGCTACACTGAGTGCTGGTGGGGTGAGAACACCAGTTCCCCCTTTTTTAAGAGTCCCAAGGTCCCAAGAACAGGACAAGCACGAAGCAAAGATAAGCAAAGCAAGCGGCCGGAAGAACGGATTCACACTGGTCTCGCCAAGTGGCTCTGGGGCGTGAGGATTAAACTCAGTGGCATGGGGGTTGAAGCTCCAGGCCTGCAACAGGTTGACCAATGACCCCCATAGACAGAATGGACTCCTATTCCTGGTGGTGATCGTGGCATAAAAGTCTTCCCTGCACAGCCCCAAGCCACGACCTTGCATATGGAAGATTGCCCTCTATTTCGGATAGCAAGTCACATTGTAATTCATAATAAATTCATATATATGTAATGTCATAAACTATAGATACACTTCTTGACTTTATTGTACAAATCATCTTCCAGCCCCTCGGAAATGACTGCCGTTAGAGATTGGTGGAGACTACATCTTAACTCAACTAACACATCAGGTCCTCCACCAGTCTAGTGGGTTTCCCCGGCAAATGAAAGCCACTCCAAGCTTTTGGTTGTCAAAACGCCATAACATCCACCATGTCCTCCCCCTTGCATCCAAATTTGTTCTTCAGAATAGCAGGTCAATTACACATCTAACGCCGGGCACTTACCTACCCGGCCCCAAATAGCAGGTCGACCCAGGTTGGACCCACGTGCCCGAAGCTCCAAAACAGTGGTACCATGCACTGCCCATGAAAACTGTGATGACTCTACATGCTTCATGACCCGTTCCACCTGCCCAGGCATCTCGGTGACATCTACGGCAACCCACTGGCCATAACCATCACCTCAGAGATTTCAATGCAAATCGAAGGCACATCCGTGAACATACTGACCCTCTAAATGACCCTTGACCCCATGATTCCTCATGGCTTGCCAATTTCGCAATACCGCCAAGGCAAACAAACAAACCCTGGAAAATAGATGAACATAGACTCATGACTCATGCCTTGACTTGTCCTTGACTCCAGGCATGGGCCAAATTAAAGCAAATTCAGGGTCCTGGAGACGACTTGGGCACCTTTCAAACGGCCTGTCACCCATGGGACATAAACATGTACGTAGAAACTCGAGTTTCGTCAAATCCATGTAACAGAATGAAGGTTCCAATCGGCATCGATTTAACACATTTTTGTCCAACCACCTGGAACAGCGAGATGCGACTCAAACACCTGGAACAACGGTAGGAAGGCGTGGCATCTGCCACTCCTCCCACCCCTGCCTGGCATCTGCCACTCGTTCTCATTCCAATCGGGTGGAGCATCGAAATACACCGGGCCCTCTGGGACTGGCCTTTCCCAATTGCTCACCTCAGCGAGGGCCGACACGCCTTGATCGACTGTCCCGGGAGGCTGCCGAAGCAAACAGGGCAAACAGTCCCAAGACAAGTGGCACTTGACTGAGTCGAAAGCCTATCGGAACTGGCTAGCATCCTTTCGCAATAGCTTGCTCGAAGCTTTCACAATCTTTCACAACTGGAGTTTGGCCTTTCGCGGCGGGTATGTCAGGACAACGACACCAACTCTTCATGGAGGTTTTTGACGTGGCTGTGCATCTTTGGGAGAGGCCTCGAAATGTCTCGAATAGATTTATTGTGGAAGGAGCGCCAATCATGGACTAGGGATGACCATATAGGGGGTCCTACTATGTCCTACTCATCTGATCTCATCTGTCTCTTGCGTTGAACATTCCAACGGCATGCAACGGCTGAACACCGTCGGATCTCTTCACATCTCCCTCGCGGTCGGTCGGAACCCGGAAATGGAGCGGTCCAGTCGTGGTGTCTACTGGGCACTCCAATCACCAAAGGTTGCTGCTTCCTGTGCCCTTCGATTGGGGGCTGAAATGCTGAACCGACGGACATGATCCAAACCTCTCTCCCCAATCTCACAGAAATCGCACGGTCGTCCAAGCACCGTCCATGCTGGCGAGAGTCTCGTCCATCTTCAGCCTCCCAGGTCAAGAATTCCTGATTGCTCTCCTCTTGGAGCAAGGTGCCATTCCCACAGCGCCACTGCTGCCAACGATCCAACGAGATGGTGAATCTCTTGTCCTGAGAGGGAAGAAAACGAGATCACGAACGGTTTTGGCAACTCCGAGGTGCCTAAAGCTCCACTCCAGAAAAGGTGACCGAAACTTCATTCAAAAATGCTGTTGGAAGTGTTGTTTCTGGTCTTTGTGTTCATGTATATGTTCACTCACTGTTTCACTCCCCAACACCGCAGTCGTGCGACTCTTTTCATCGACGTGTTCCTCTTTTGTTTCGAACCAAAGCAGACCGAATCCAACACGGGCCGCCTGGCTCGTGGCTTCGCAAATAGGATGTCACACCACCCGTCGACTCCACACGACGGGTCCCCACATCAGCGAGCGCATGTCTTGCCACGTAGACGGGTCCCCGAGCCCCATTGACCAAGTAGTACCCTCATAGACTCCACGCTTGATGCGCCAGTTCATTCAGACATGTTTAAAGGCTCAATATACTTAATTAAGCCCCAACTTGGTCAGCAGAAGTGATCTATATGCCCACGGTGGAACTGTATGGCATCACATGGCATCACAGATTGCACGGCGTACCAGTCTTTGTGCAATCTGTCGTGAACCCGAACGAAAACTGACCTTCTGGCTGGGCCTTTTCTACTAAATACGCTTCCACAACGAGGGAAGCTCCAAACACGTTTGGGGCAAGTCTCTGGAACTCCGGTCTTCTGCAAGTTGGCAGTGAATGCCAACCGTGGTTGACCTGCAAATTGAGCCGATCATGGCGAAGTTCCTGAAAGCCCTCAACTCCGAAATACAAGCACAAGTCTGGGCCATTTGTGCACCAGGCGCAAAGTCATCTTTTGTCAAATCTCTTTTCGTTGCAAGTCGACCTTTTCCAACGACCTCCATTGACCATTACATGTCGTGTTCCTATATGTTAGTGTTCAATGACAACCAGGAAGACCAAGCGGACAAAAGCTTTCAGTCTTGGTTGGAGCATGACTTTGTTGGTATTGAGGATCTCAACACTGTAGTCTCTTAAAGTCTTAAAAGCCATCAAAATCCAAAAAATCAACGAACACCATCAATAGCAAGCCATCGAAAACCAAAAGCCACGTATATAAGCCGCCAAAAGTCAAAAGACAACAGCCACAAAAGACTTCAACAAAATCAGCCTTCAAAGGATCCATTCACCAGAAGCCAAAAGCGACAGAAACCACCAAAAAAGAAACGCCTGTAGAAGCTAAGCCGAAACCCAAGACGGCACCGCAAGCAACCAAAAGTACCACCAACTACATTATATATGCAACATATCTGATTGAAACACCCTCTGGGCCCTATGGCAAAAGAACCACCTAAGTCCAAGACCAACTTTGGAGTATTTGACTTCAAGACTCCAGGGGGCATTTCCTTGAAGAAGGGCCCCTTCTGGCTCAGTTCATTACGGAGTGGTGTGCAAACTCCATGTATCGATCCGCTGCACTTGGTCCGAGGGCCGGACGTCCGCGCGGATTCCGGCCGAAGCGTTGCGAGGCAGGTGTGACCACGATCTTGTGACCCAAGTTGTCCAACCATTCGCCCAAGAACATCCTGATGTTCTCCGCGACGGGGTCGCGACGGTCGGAGACATCGGCGACGGGTCGATCCTGCTTGACCCGACCATGTAACAATCTGAGTGCGCGGAATGGACAATACCACATGATATATTGTCAAGTAAGCCTGTTTTCTGCTAGGCATCTTTTCATGAAGCGGCGAACATGCCTCTGGCCCTTGGCAAATCCAGCAATATATAGTAATACATATATATATATTATATTTCTTACATGCGTGCTTCAAGGGCAGTTGGTGCGGGCCGGTCCAGGCGCCTGGGTGAAGTCCCATTGAGTACTCCGTCCGAGCAAAGTCTGCGTTGATAACTGCAAAGTCTAGGTCTTGACCATGGCTATTAGGTTGGAGGCCATCGCTATTAGGTCGGAGGGCATCGCTCTTAGGGGAGGGCCATCGCTATTAGGTTCGAGGCCATTGCCATTAACGGAGGATCTTTAGGATCTGCTCTGTATCCTGTAGACCATGTCTATGCGTACTGTATCTTACGTAACTGTCATGCGTACACAAAGGGCCTAACCCAACCCAACAGCGAACACTACACGACACATGAAAGCCATCCAAGCAGCTGTGGGTCAAAGCTTTCATCTGCTGACTCACCTGGTGCTGGGGGGCAAGTGTCTCACCAAGGCTATACACTGAGGACCGCGCAAGCCTTGCTGAAGAACAGGCCAACGCTCATCTCCACGAGTTGCCGGGGAATTACCCCAAATGCTTCAAGGATGTTGATAGCTTCACTGACCAAAGAGCTCAGTGATTCTTCCTGCTTTGGTTTAAACATGTGATCTTGTGACTCAACTCAACGCCCAAAAGGTCCCGGGTTAAGTCGAAACGTTTGACTTCTCGGCTTCTTGGTCCATCGGCCCTTCCACCGTCCGTCCACCTGCCTTTGCGCTCTGGCGGATGCTGTGCTGGAGACTCTTCACTCTCCATCTGGAGCGGGGAGAACCCCATTCAGCGAACAGGGCCCTATTGGGTCTGTATATGTTTAATTGCTTTGATATGGCTCCACAGTGATGTTTTGACCCGTTTGGCCCCCTTGCGGGACAGGTTTCTAGGGGCGTCGCGAAGCAAATTCCAATTTGTTTCATTGAGTGTTATGTGATTCTATTTCATACTTCTAGATAGTTCTAACTTGCAGGTGCAGAAACCAAGGGATGGTTACCCGCAGTGGGAGCTGCAACTATGTACCAAACTATGAAACTGCTGTGCATGTGCAATGCTGAACGAAAGGGTGTGCTTCATCATGGGATGTTTTTGGTTTTGCTCAAATTCAGCCCCGTGAAGCTCCAGCCACCAGCCCCCATTCAGCCCCCTCATCTCTGCAACTCCGGCCCAAAGTTCACCGCAAGCTGCCCTGGGCCTCCCATCTTCCCTGTCCTGCCTGTTCAGCCCAACTCTGCCGAGGATGTGGGTTGGGGCCCCAGGAATCCAAGCTCCAAGGTCCACCTTCGTGGCGTTGCGCCACGGGACAAAGCGGCAGAAGCCCCAGAAGGCGCGGCGCAGAAAGCGTGACGTTTGAAGCACGGCGACCGCAAATGTAGTTGTGGACTTGTGGATACAGAATGAACCCTGAAACGGGACTGCTCTTGAAGTGTTTGTCAGACATGATGCCAGTCCCAATGCAATCTGCGGGACGCGCTATAATGGTAGCTATTGCAACCGCCCCGTCTACAAGTCCGGTCAATCCCCATCGTCAATCCCACATTCTGGACTGCGATTCCCGAAAAAGAAACCTTCCTTCTCCTCAATTTCCCTGATTCAGTCTCACCAGGAGTTCTGGAAAGCAGAGAAGTGTCCCTGACTTAGTCTCCTCAATTCTCCTAAAGTTTAGTCTCACCAGTAACTAGCAACTAGAACGACAAGAGAGTTGAGTGCTTGGTAGCCGCGCTACTTTCAGAACAGTATCGAGAGAGCTTGAAAGCTGACTACGGACTACTACACAGCTAAGACTTTAAGAGCCTTACGCCTGAAGTGTTCATGTTATATATGGCATACATGGCAAAAGAAGCATATGTCGTCATGTGTCATGTTACTTACTATTACTATCTATCTATCCGCTCCTCGGACCACTCAACTCCAAATGAATGGACCCCGCAGTTTCACTTGCAAACTGGAGTCTCCATCTTTCAAGTGGTTTGGTTGGAATAGATATTATATACTACAAATAAAAGCAATCAGCTAGCTTCTAGGACGTTAGGAACTAGCAGCTAAGCAGCCAACGCTGAATTCCGTTTTGGGTGTTTGTTTGTGTTTCGTTTGGCATGAACAGTTGATGGCCTACTTGCCTGTTCTCCACAGGCAGAACTCTACACATTGGCTGTGGTGTGGACGGATCGTTTGGTTTCACGGATCGGGAAGACGGAATTGCTTGCTGAATATAGATAATTATAGATAATATAGGCCTATGGCTGTAGAGGAGGTCGTAACACTAAACTTCTAAAAAAACACTGTGTGCAGGTCTTGACAGTTCCTTCCGACCGTGCCTCCTCCCTCAGGAGCGGTCTTCACGCCCAAGTCGGGCGAGCCATGATTGGACCGGCTTTTGCTCCCTTGGACGCCGGGGACTTCTCACAGAACGGATCCCCGAGATCGACGAGCACACGAACGGAACACGACACGAACGGGACGAGGACAGTGATCCAGTGATCCCAGTAATTTGAATCACGCGCGGTTTTTTATTCGCAGCGGTTTGAGGGTGTAACATGGTGTAAGCAACGATGCCAAGGATTTGAACTGCACAGCGTGCACCTACTGGTGTCGTTCGGCCTCCGCACACAAATCAGCAATCCACCAACAGCCAGCTGAGCGAAAACACCATCGCACGCACCAGCGATTCCACTTCAAAAGTTACCTCGTTGGACAAACCTACGTCCGTTCTTCTTCCGTTCGGCAATGAAGAGATTAAGGTCAACCTGGTCTGGTAAAGTCAAATCGTCCAACGATGCTTGTTCGTTCATGTTAGTTCGGGACTCAGGTGATTCATTAGATCAATCCCAGACCATCCATGTATGTATGAAATAGCTACATGAAGTACGGTCAACACTTAATATTCTTCTTCAACTAGAAAATGGACCTGGTCGGTTTTGAACTGGACCTCATCGTTTCACAGTGTTGTGAAATCGCCACATACTATCACATACTTAAGATCATTAGCAGCGCTGGGTTATCGCTTTTGAGGTGGACCTTATCGTTTAACGGGGTTTTGTGCACCAACCTCTTTACTACTAAAGTGGTGGTCGCATGTTTTGACCCGTAGCTCACATGCATTTACCAAATGAACATGACCCCGATGTAGGTAACGCCATACACATGGATGGGCCAGGAAGGGCCATGGGATTCTCCACAGGTCTCGTCAAGGCACCCACTTCCACCAAGTGGAATGAGCCACCGCCTGGAAGCCACACATCACAGTCACAGTCACATATTCCCATGAGTCCCCGAGTAGGTCAGAACATTGCAATCTAACTGAATCTAACCAATGATATATATATATATATTATAGTTAATATTTGGATTTTTGTATATATATATATATTATAATATTTGTTGTATGCTATGATATGACTATCTCTGTTATCGGACCATCTACGACATCCGCGGACTGCGCATCCCCTATGACATCCCCGATTGAACTCCCCTATCGATCCAGCTATGCGCTTCACCAAAGCAGCGCCATGACACGCCACGGATCGACCACGGCTGCGGACAAGTCGACCTTCCACGTGCGATGCTGGGTGCGTTCTGCGCCTGAAGCAATGCTGTTGGCACGACTTCTGGGCTTGGGTCCCACAGGTGAGCCGCTGGTACCTGGAGAGACAGGGCCACCGAACGGTAGAGACAGGGCCAGCATCCTTTTACTCCGCTAAAGAGTTAAGAGCTACACATTGAAAAGCCATGAAAAACCAAGTGATCTAGAGACTCCGTTCCTGACAAACCATACGAGTGGATCTAAAGTGCAGTAATTACATAAAGCATATATTATATATCTTGTGATTCTGCTCACCTAGACCTAGCCTAGCCCAGAGCAAACTCCATCTGTCGTTTCAAGAAGTGCTCCCCCTGTCGTCTACTTCGCCTGATCCGCCTGATCCGCACCGCTGCGGAGAGGGACCTCCGCTGTGGGGCTGGGATGTGGCCAGTAGTCTTTTTTCTCAATGTCTTAATCCCTGAGACTTGTTGAACGTCAATTAGCAATAGATAAGTATATACATAGACAGACGTCCGTTTTTTCCACGGACATGGATGGCTTTTCAAAGGGGGTTGATCGGACAGGACAATGAGAAGGCTCCTGAATCTTGGGCCCCAGAAAAGCCCTGAAAAGCCACCTCCAGCTGGCGAATCCATCGGCGCAGGGGCGCAGGCTCAGAGTGGAAGACACGTCAAGCGTGTTTCAGGTTCCAAGTGGTTCCAAGTGTCAAGTTCTGTTGGCAACTTCGCTGGACTACAAGCCGCCCCCCCCAAAACCCTGAAACCCTGCTGCTTACTCCACCGTTCGTTTCAGACATGAAGTCGCTGTCCAGAACTGCCTAATGCAATCGGACGTCTGAGGATTGAGTGGTTAGAGAAGCCCAGTCAGGCGAGGTGATCGACTCTCTTCGTCTTTTCCTCGGATCTGCGACCCCTCGGGCTCGAGCCACCAGAGACCGCGATTGGGGTAGGGTTGGGGGTGGGATACCTCTGGGATCCTTCAGCCGAACTGACCGCAAGACGGTATCTACCGGTGAAACGATTCCCAAGAAAGCTTCTTCTTCCTAGTAGCTTCTTGTTACTAGTAGCGATGGCCTCCAACCTACTTGCGATGGCCTCCACCAAATAGCGCCCTTGCTACTAGTCAAACACGGATGACATAGATGACATGGATTCTTTTTGACGACTTTCCTCGATTCGACTCCAGGCTCCCACGTGCATGGAGGTAAGAGAGGTAAGAACCTTTCTTGATCACTTGGTTCTGCACCCTGCATGGACCGCGCAGTGTATTCATAGCCCTAGCCATCCACCACCTCTATGGGAGCAAGCTCACGGCAAGCTCCACAATTGAGGATCTTGTCAATAATTCGCACAAAAACATTAACAATAAACACATGGCCCAACAAAAACTGCATCACAAAGCTTAGCAGGATGAGGAAAAACACTAGTCCCGCGACTCTCCAGAGTGCCCCCCTGCACAGCAATCAAAGAAAAAACTACATCCAACTGTATACATGCATGCCAGTGCATACAAAAGCCTAACTGCCCTGTCAAAGGGTATGACATGTGGGTTCTAATGTTGCCTGTTGATTGACACCCCCCATGTGGAGAAATCAAGCGTCAACACTAGCTGGTACAGGATTTCTTCCATGGACGGTATGTACGATGCCATGATACATGGCCAATTCTACGCCATTCCGACCCTGGTCATGGACCACACACATTCCAGCGACCAGCCAGTGCACGCGATGGAGTCCGGCTTGTCGGATGAGTATAGCCTCAAGTCACTCGGTTTTCCGACAAAGCCGATCCTGGCAAGACTGCACCTCCAGCTAATGATTGAAAGCCCTCCACCCCGGAAGTCACCGAAGGCCCCTGTGCCATTTGCTATACATATTGAATGCCCAAGACCAGTATCAACAAAATGGACATTCCATGTTGAGAAAATTTGTATTTTCCACATGTCCAGTATGTCCAGTAAGTTGCACACTGGGTGTCTCCAAACATCAAAAAGGATTGCCGAGTTGCAAGTGCAAGGCCTCTTGCCAACTTCTTCTCCGGCCATGGTGAGAAATGGCCTCGATAAATACCACGAAAAAGATCCTACAAGAACAACTTGGAGTTAAGGGAGAGTGGTCCGAATTGATGAATGCCCCGGTGTCAATCCCTCATACACATGTCATCATGTGTCATATGAATAAGATGAGGAAATACGAGGAGCACATAGCTACTAGTAACAAAAGAAGCTACTAATAGGGGCTCCTGGCATCGCTACGAAAGGAGCGATCAAACGCTACGAACAGGGCTCTTGGCCGTACCGCTACTACGAGTACGTGTGCTGTTGACTGATATATACACGCACATCGTCACCTAACGTCGGCCGTGACAATCACGTGGGCAGCCGAGGGATACCACGCGTCAGGAGGAAAGGGGTGGAGGTGTGAGCACCGAAGCACCAAGCCCCGCAACAAAAATGGCTCCTGTCAGCCCCCTGGAATTCTATGCGCCCGGCGGGTTCTACTTCAACTGTGGGGTCTCTGGGGGTCAGAGCCTTGTTTGTCACGTTGCTTTAAGTTGCTTTCATGTTCGCAACCACCCTCCGCCGTTCGCGACGGTTTGACGTAAGCTTTTGGAGGCGAGCATGAAATGTCGGATTCATGCGATGTAGTGGAAACGTGACATGCCCAAGCGTGAAAAATATTTCTGGCGCGCGGGTGCTGCTTTGGAAGGTCATTACTTTGCGCCGCCCACAAGATTGTCCTACAAGAGTACCTCACTTCCAAGAGTGTGCTAAGTGTGTCCCGCAAAAGTGTCTTACAAGGGTGCCTTACAAGAGTGTGCGACCGAAATTGTGCTACGAGTGTCGGACTAGCGTGTCTCCCACAAGAGTGTCCTACAAGGGTGCCTTACAAGAGTGTGCGACAAGCTGCGACAAGAATCCAGAATGTCCCACAGGAGTGTCCGACAACAGTGTCCCAAAAGAATGTCTCACAAGACTGCGATACAAGAGTGCCCTGCAGACCCGTGCAGCGCATTCGTTGCAGACTACTTTACAGCTTTGGGGTCTCCGTAGCTGGCCAATCACAGAAAGAGGAGAGTTCGCTCGCTTGGCCATTGGTCTTTGCGTATCGACCGCTTGAGTTCGGGCTCTGCTTGGGCCCGACCTTCGCTCGGTCCCTCCGAGCTCGTGGCGAGGGTCAAGTGGCGCAAACGATCCAAGTCCTATGGGTGAAGGCGCTGAGAGTGCTGGGATGGTTGAGAGCGTTGAGATTCTGCCAGGTATTGGTTGAGAACATCTCATCTGATGTTCGGGTTGGCAAGCAACATGAATGACATCACCAAAGTGGGCACCTATCTTTCCCCACCAAATTGTTGTCCTGGTGAAGTGTGCTTGTTTTAAGTCTTGAGATCACTTTGTTGCACTACAATCACTGCAAACATTGCAAAGTGACCCGTGGTAACCTAAGCGATCATGTATGTACAATGTATATATATATATATCATATATACAGTATACATATAATACATATTATGATCGTGTGTTTGCACACGAACAAGTTCAGGAATTTTGTGTTGAGGCACAAACGCAAAGTAGTAGCTCCTTACTCTTGTGCTGTTTGCATGTTTTGGAGCCTCCAAAAAATTGACGTGTACGTGCCAAATGGTGCCTCTCTCACCCCATCAGTTCGTTCATCAGGGCCTCTGCTGCCAGCCTCAGCCAATGATGCATGTCTGGATACATAAAGTAGAGCCTATCGAGCCCGAAAGGCATGGCTCATTCAAAAGCACCAGCTAGCAGCTTGCAAAAACTTGCAAATCTGCTTGTCTGATTGAGTGCCAATGTCTGATGATGTCTGATGTAGATACACCCCTGCCACAACCTTCTCAGAAGATTTCATTGCTTCATCTAGTAGAATCGATATCATTATATAGTTGCCATGGATGCCTCCTAACTCCCCCTTTAGGGGCCCCAGCGCGAGGCATCTTCTCATCATCCATGCGCAACATGATGAGGCTTGGGGTTTAGGGTCTTCCAGGAGTCTTCCATTGTCATCTGCGAGGACTTTCAGCTAAACCGCTCTGCGAAGGTGAGGGGTGTTTACGAGCTTGAGAGAGAGGAAAAACAGGTTCATTGGAATTTTCAATTATGGTTAAACATTGTATACTATGATGTACTATGCATAGGAAAAAGGTTTAACATTACAGTACGGTATATACTGCAATATAATTCCCAACTTCAAGCAAGGTCTAATGCGGTTTGGCTCACTTCTTTAGAACACACCTGGATTCGCTGTGACCAGAGTCCAGCAAGCTCACAGTGTATCTTGTGTTTTCCCTCTGAGGGTGATTATTGGCTGAGGCAAGGGTTGTGCAGGTCACGCGGTGCAGCTTTTGCATGCGATGCTCCAAGGAATATGTTTCCACAATACACTCTTGCAGGCTGGGTGGTTCCTGTGTCAAGTTCGAGTTTTCATCCTGGCTCCTTTTCTCAGCCGTTGAAAGTCGACGTTTTTGAGGGGCACTTTCTGGCTGGTCATTGACGGCAAAGCGAGCAAAATCCAACAAAATGTGTATGAAATGTTATGAACAGTGTACATTACTTGCACCTGAGTGGTCGCTCTTTTGTTGTACGGGCCCGCCCCGTTCCTCTCCTGTTCGGCTTTGGGTGCGAGGCTGGACTGCCAACCAGGCCAACCATGCCTGTGAGGTGGGGCAAAACTTCATAAGCCCAACGGCCCAGTTTTGATCCTGCAGCTAGCCCAGCTGCAGGACCCAAACTGGGCTTCTGGTAGTCCTCCACCGCTCAGCATGAGGCTCAGCTGGCACATGGAACAATTTTGGAGCAGCGCATGGCGCAGGTCCACAAACGAACCAGTATTGGCCCAATTCAGGTTGCAGGCTGCTGATTCGCAGTGCTGAAATACTCTGCTGTCACTTTGGCCGGTATTCCATAGATCTTCTCATTGTAGAATGCCTTGGCCTTCAACAGCAAGGCCTTGCCTCAGGAATGAACGGCCATGAGGTGTGTTTTTAATTGTGCTTTCACGTGTTCACGTGCCCTAACATGCCCTAAATCCCTGTTGCACACGGTAGTAGTTGCAAATGACCAGTTTGTTCATCACCTTCTTCATCATCATCATCATCATCATCATCATCATCAGCAGCAGCATCATCATCATCATCATCATCTCTTCCTTGGTTTGGGAACATATCGCGATTTGCAAAAGCAGTTGACACGCAAAGAAGCCCATATATTTGGTTGATCCTTGACATGGAACACGTCACGTCTGTGACGGCATTGCAATTGCATGCTCCCTGACAGCTTGGACAGCTGTCGGTGTTGCTGAGCAAGGCAGCTTACAAATGGCAAACCCTATAATACAAGGACCTTTTAGTGCCGAAGAGGCAATCGAAAAGGGTGACTGCACAAAAAACAGCCTATATAAAACATCTTACAAACCGTTCAGCAAAATACAGAAAACGATAACGAAAACAATGTTTTTGTAAAAACGCCCACTAAAAGGAAAACACCAAAAACCAGGGCAAGTTAAGGATGGGTCTTTCCAAATGTGCTTTGCGCTCTGCGTTCCACTTTCAGCGCTTGTTGCATCTTCGTTGCCAAGGGCTTCGACATTTTTTCACCCTTTGTCTGCTCTTGGCATCTATTGGCCGGTGCTGCCATGTGATGATTAGCCACTGGAAGACCGTTGTTCCGGCTTTGGTCCGATCGTTGAATTGACACCCGTCTCCCTTCTCACCAGAATGGAGAGCATTGCCAAACGGACTCCTGCAAATTTCTAGCCACAGTTTTTGCAACCAATACCCGTCATCGTAGGAACACTCTACCGCTACTGTTGCTTGATTCAAGAAGAAGACCGTGTTTTTTCTCAAATGACCTGTTGATACCGTTTGTGTGTCTTCTAATGCTTAGCGCAGCTGCTGTTTCCTGGGAGATGTGACAGTAAACATGACTCAAGCAGCATATGCCCTAAGCCCTAAGTCTTGCAGTCTTGCAAAGCGGACTGTAACTGCAAGACTCACGTACAAGACTCACGTGCAAACCAGAATGTCTTCCTCTTACAGTCTCTGCGTGTCGGGAGGTTACTGTCTGCTTTCACTTCAGTGCATAGAATTGGCGAGACTCGGAGAGAAAACACACACACTCTGACATTGGTTTGCTGTTAACTCAATTCCCACGTTGAGAA